ATCTCCGGGCTCGGCAGAATTCGGCAGAGTTCGGATATCTCCGTGCTCGGCATAATTCGGATATCTCCGTGTTCGGCAGAATTCGGTATAATTCGGATGTCTCCGTGCTCGGCAGAATTCGGCAGAATTCGGATATCTCCGGGCTCGGCAGAATTCGGCAGAATTCGGCAATCTCCGTGCTCGGCAGAATTCGGCATAATTCGGATATCTCCGGGCTCGCAGAGTTCGGCATAATTCGGCCATCTCCGTGCTCGGCAGAATTCGGATATCTCCGTGTTCGGCAGAATTCGGTATAATTCGGATGTCTCCGTGCTCGGCAGAATTCGGCATAATTCGGATATCTCCGTGCTCGGCAAAATTCGGCATAATTCGGATATCTCCGGACTCGGCAGAATTCGGATATCTCCGGGCTCGGCGCAGTCCGGACATCTCCGGGGATTCACGAACGGTGTTCGGCAGAGCTCGGCGGAGTCCGGACGTCCCCGGGGACTCCCGAACGCAGCGCCGCCGCCCCTGCCCGTGGGACTTTTCTCGCGCGGGACCGGAAGGAGCGGGGCGGCGGGGGGGGGGGGGGAAAGAGGAAGGCGCCACCGGCCCGCGGAGCTGACGTCATCCATCGGCGCCGCCCACCCGGACGCCGTGGTTTGCGCTGATCGGTTCAGCACCGCGGACAGAGGACGCGCGGCGGCGCCTGCGCACTAAGCGGCGTCCGAGTCAGCACCGCGGACAGAGCCCCTGGCGCATGCGCAGTGCGCGACGACGGATTTGCCACCGCGGGCGGCGCATGCGCGCCGCGCGACGTCCGCTTCAGCACCGCGGACAGAGGCCCCCCGCGGCGCGGCGCGCATGCGCCTCCTCCGCGGGGCTGACGTCACCCGTCACCCGTCCGCAGCGAGCGAGCGAGCCGCGGAGGAGCCGAAGCCGCCGCGGCGAACTCCTACGCGCCCGCCGCGGCCCCTGCCCCCGCGGCCCCCCGCACCGAACTCCTACGCGCCCGCCGCGGCCCTCGCGACCCCCGCCCGCCGCCGCCATGAACTACCTGCGGCGCCGCCTGTCGGACAGCAACTTCATGGCGAACCTGCCGAACGGGTACCTGTCGGACCCGCAGCCCCCGCCCCCGCCCCCGCCGCCCTCCTCCTCCTCCGCCCTCAGCCCCGGCGGCGGCGGCGGCGTCGCCTCGCCCGGCTCCAACATGGCCGCCGCCGCCCCCGCCGCCGCCGCCGCCGCCGCCGGCGCGGGCTCGTCTCCAGCCGCCGCGGCCCCGAGCTCCGTGCCCTCCCCATCCGGGTTCTTCTCGTCGCTGTCGAACGCGGTGAAGCAGACGCTGAGCGAGCAGGTCGGGGGCGGGGGCGGGGGCGGCGGGTCCGGGTCCGGGGGCCGCGGGGGCACCGCGGCGCGGGTGCTGCTGGTCGTCGACGAGCCCCACACGGACTGGTGAGTGCCATGGCGGCGGCGAATGAGTGATTCTAGGGCTGAATGAATGATTCTAGGGCTGAATGAATGATTCTAGGGGTGAATGATTCTAGGCCGGGGTGGGCACCGCGGGTGGGGTTCTGCGGGTCGTCGACGGGCCCCACACGGACTGGTGAGTGCCATGGCGGCGGCGAATGAGTGATTCTAGGGGTGAATGAATGATTCTAGGCGGCGGTGGGCACCGCGGGTGGGGTTCTGCGGGTCGTCGACGAGCCCCACACGGACTGGTGAGTGCCATGGTGGCGGCGAATGAGTGATTCTAGGGCTGAATGAATGATTCTAGGGGTGAATGAATGATTCTAGGGGTGAATGAATGATTCTAGGGCTGAATGAATGATTCTAGGCGGGGGTGGGCACCGCGGGTGGGGTTCTGCGGGTCGTCGACGAGCCCCACGCGGACTGGTGAGTGCCATGGCGGCGGCGAATGAGTGATTCTAGGGGTGAATGAATGATTCTAGGCGGCGGTGGGCACCGCGGGTGGGGTTCTGCGGGTCGTCG